GCTTCTCCCTCTGCCCTCTTCCCTCTTGTGCTCTCTGTCTCTCATTCTCTCTCTCTCTCACGTAAATAAATAAAATCTTTAAAAAAAATAGTACACATAAATGTCACTTCTAACATCAAAACCATAAATCACCTGCATTCTCTCTTCTATATTAAAGTTGCTTTCAATGGGATTTATTTTCCATTACTTGAATCAATGCATTGCTCTTTCATTCCTCTTCTCTATTTCTCCCCATTTCTCTTCATTTAAAACTCATATAAGGCTATTCTCTTCTACGAAAATGTTCACAGTTGCCCATTTTAATAAACAGAACCATATACAGAAATATTTAGGTCTGGAAGGCACCTTGGAGAATCACCTTTTCCCACTGTCTCATTTCACAGCTGATAGAATTAGATTAAGTGATTTGTCTAAAGTCACACATTAGAGGCAGAAGCAGACTAGGAATACAATACACTAAATTTTAGCTTTTGTCAATATATAATTATTCATTCAGCAAACATTTATTCATGTGGCAGGCAGTATTCTAGGGGTTAGAAGCCAATAGGGGCCCCCAAAGGCATAATTCTGCTCCCCTACACTCCCGATTCTACAGGATTCATTCTCCCTTAGGTGTGCTGTGAGTTTCTGCTATTCCTTTTAATAGTTTTATTTCTTCATGCTTTGATGGTGTCCTTATCTTTACTCATTCCCAATTAACTTCCCCAAGCTTCTCATTTAATTAATTCCCATCCTCCTTTTCAAGATATGAACTGGCTCTCCTGACTTAGAGCCCTTCTGCCTCATTATCGGCCCCCCCATTCTCAAATAATTATTTTGAATATAATGAAAATGTTAAACATGGTTGAACCCAATATGTCATTATTGTAACTGACTGCCAACAAATGTTTTCACATGTTTCGACTTGTGTAATAAAGTATCACAACAGAAAAATGAGTAGACCCTTTATCCCTGTCCACCTTTTCCAATCTGTGTTGGTAAACATTTGCTTCTATCATAATGAGGACAGGCTTGTAAAATTAAACCTCCTAAATGGATGTCAATGGTTAGACACAAAAAAGAAAAAATAGAAACATCCCTTTGTCCTCAATATAGGGCAAAATATTTTGTCCTTCTGCCTTTCAAGAAAAGTCCATATTCTGTGTTATTGACTTCCTACCATTCCTACCAGCAGCACCATAGGTACCAATAGTGACTGCATTTATTTATAGAACATTTGTTTACTCTACTAATTGATGCATTACCTTTCTTTTATTGCCTAATGCTCTCCATTTTCCAGATAAATATCACTATCTTTTACAGTTACATGTAGAATGAAATGATCTTGTGCTTAATGAACAAAATAAAATAGCCACAGTTCAGTGAAATATTTTGTAAAGATACTGAAAAATGGCACTTTATTTTTATTTTTTAAGAGTAGTTTTATAAGCTCTTTATTGATAATGAACTCTTTCATGAAAGTTCTCAAAAAAAGTTGCAAGGATAGAAGTTCTCATATGTCCTTTACCTAGGTAAACCAACTGTTAAGATTTTGTTCTGTGTCATTTTCTCTGTCTATATTATTATATATATTATATATATTATATATATACTATTATATATGTGTGTATATATACACAGTTCATATATTTTTCCTAACCATTTAGGATTAGTTGGAGACCTGGTGTGCCTTATCTCAAGTATTTTAGTGTATATTTCAGTATAATTCCTAAGAACAGGACATTTTTTTTTATACAGAACAGTTATCAAGCACAGACAATATACCACTGATGTAAAACCATTGTCTAATTCATAGCCCATTGTCAAAGTTCATCTACTGTCACAATATTGTTCTTTATAGTTAATCGTTTTTGTCGATTTGTCCAGGATCTAATCTAGAATCATGTGATAGGGCGCCTGGGTGGCTCAGTTGGTTAAGCGACTGCCTTCGGCTCAGGTCATGATCCTGGAGTCCCAGGATAGAGTCCCGCATTGGACTCCCTGCTCAGCAGGGAGTCTGCTTCTCCCTCTGATCCTCCCCCCTCTCATGCTCTCTCTCTCTGTCTCATTCTCTCTCTCAAATAAATAAATAAAATCTTAAAAAAAAAAAAAGAAAATTTAAAATCATGTGATACATTTGTCATGCAATGCTTTATTTTAGTGTTTAAAATCTTACACTCAGTCACTAATGCCCTGGATAGTGTTTATTTTTAAAGTAATCTCTGCTTGCTGACTGCTCTTCCAAGAATAATAATTTAAGCCAAAAGATGTCTAACAAAATCCCTTAGGATTAATGATATCTGTGTTGAGGAAATGACACATCAACTTTTTAACTATGTTCTAGCCACAGGTTTTGGCATTTCAGTAGGAAGAAGCCCAAGAAAAAGAACTCTGAGTTTATCCATAATTTGCAGTTTTGAGATTTAAAACATGGGATAAGGATTTTGATGCCATCCCAGTCGACCTGGGGCAAAGGAATAATGTTTACAAACAGCCATGTTGCAAGGGTTCACAGTGCATACTTTAAATCCAACCCTAAATAAATATTTAGGTTAGTGATATGTTAGTAAAAGTTCCATTAAAACCAATATTTTCATAAAAATGAAATATTTGAGATATTTTAAACCAAGTTTGGATATTAACATTAGCTATTTGTCATCCTTGAAACGGTCCTTTTGCAAAAAATACAGCTGTGCATTTTAAAATATTCATCATTAAAATGAATACAAAAGTGCCCTCCTCCCACAAAACAAGTCAACGATTTGCAATATTTATGCCGAAAGCATACAGTGTTTTGCTTAATTCTGTAAATAGAATTATGATTAGGGCCGCAAGGTACAGCAGTTTAATTTCTAGCTGTTGTCAAGCAAAAGTAATCCCTAAGTCTCAGTTATTTTCTTTATTCTCCATGTCAGGCCTGCTTCTAAAACTGCATTAAAAAATGTGAAAGTGTCATCAGATTTATTGAGTATGAATGCTCATACTGTTTTGTGAAAAATACATAAATCTACCTAAAAAGATTCACATTTTTTGAAGTATCATATAAACACATGAAAGTACCAAGTCTCAATACCAGGAAACTGTCTGAATCAGACCTACTGATACCAATTACGTTATTGAAAAGCCAGATAGTTGGCGCAAAGTGCAAAATCATCCTGTGCTATTTTCACTTTTTTTCTTCTAAAATAGAGATGTTTATACATGCAAGAGAGAGAAATTAGCTACCAGAAAAATATGATGCACATCCATATTCAGTGCATAGATTGAAAGTAAAATAGCTGTTTGTCCCTTACAGTAGAACAGGCTTGCCATTCATCCTTGTGATAGATGTGCGTGCAAAACCAAAATGAAATCAAATCCCTGCAGATGACTCGTAAGTCACAAAAATTGTTTAATCCTTTCACTGTATCCCTTTGGGAAGCCAGCCTTGTAAGTCTTAATGTACAATACATACAATGTCAAATATTCTCTGAGTTTTTTAGTAGAAAACCTTCATTTATTCCAGCAGGTGCCCTCACCCCCATTGTTTCTTGTAAAGAGCTCTATGTCACTCTGATTCCTTAGTATGTGCACTCGTAGAATTTGGTTGTAGTTTTTAATAAAAAAAGTGTCAGTACATGGAAACTATATATAGAAATCTTATCTAAAATTAATTGTAGCTCAAAGTCGTATTTTAAGAGTCAGCCAGGCAAATCTAAATGCATTTTTGCAATGCTCTTTCTAATGGCTTTTACTAGAAAACAGTTGAGTTTCAAGCAGAAATAAAATGAAAGCAGACCTCGGAGGCTTAACCATTGAACAGATGCAGTAAATGCAGTTTTGGAAATATAGCTGTCACTTCAGATCTTTCACGCTGAGTACCTATATGAGCCAACTGCCAGAGCTGCTGGCGTTATAATATTTGTGTAGTTCTGCTGAACCTAGACACTGTAAGAACTCTTAAAAACAGAGTAACATGCCTATTATGAACCTGTTTCTAAATATTTCATTCTTTCTTGGTTTTCATTCTACCTAAATTTTTTGAAGACTAAAACTGATGAGAACTTATATAAAAAGGTACTTGTCTCTAGTACTGTGAAATTTTCATTTGTGAGTTGCTAACTTGTCAAATCAAATCAGAAATTCTTGACATCTTTATTACACTAAAGCAATTCCTGATATTGACTCGGGAAGGATTTCATTTTCTTACTCCCTAAACTAGAAGTTGTACTTTTTTTTTTTAATGCAGTGATATGAGATTATTTTTCTCTTTACCCCTGATGGGGGATATATATATATATATATACATATATATATACACATGTATATATGTATACAAGAATATATATATATATATACTTGACCCTTGAACAACATGGGTTTGAACTGCAAAGTCCACTTAAATCTGTGGATACACACACACACACACACACACTACTGTACTGTCGATGTATTTTCTTAACATTTTCTTTTCTCTAGCTTACTTTATTCTAAGAATGCAGGATATAATATACAAAATATATGTTAATCGACTGTTTATGTTATCAGGAAGGCTTCTTGTCAACAGTAGGCTGTTAGTAGTCAAGTTTGGTGGGAGTCAGAAGTTACACAAGGATTTCTGATTGAAAGGGGGGTCGGTGCCCTTCACCCCCACATTGTTCAAGGGTGAACTATAATCATATCAATACTAAATATAGCACCAGGCAATTAATAATTATATGATTCTTTTTTAATAATGTAATATTCTCTAACAATGTCTACCTAGATTAGTATTATTTCATTTTTCAAGAAGGAAGCATAATTAACTTTTCACAAAAATCAGTGCATAAACTACTCACAGAATCTTCATCTCTAGCCCTTCCAACCAACTTTAAAATCCCTGTTTATCTATCATATACTATATATGCTAAACCTACATGACATTTTATTGTATTTCTAAGTAGAAATATTACATAATAAAATTAATCAGTTATAATTATGACATTCTGAAATGATATTGAACTATGCAGTCAACTAACAGTACCTATGTTGTTTTCCTTTAGAGAAAAAGAATCCGAAAGAACAAATACCCCAGAATTCCTAACAGAACAGTAAGTACTTTCATGATACAGTAATATTACTAGGGCTCCTATAAAATGAGAAGGTCTTACAAATTTCTTTTACAGAAACATTCGCCTTTCTATTTTCTAAGATAAGAGATTAATACAGTAAGCAAATGGAGCCTTCTAAAACTTAATCCCAATTTACTGGAGTAAACTGAAAATCATTTATCCTATAATCCTCTTAAATAAGAGGCCAAGGTAATCCTTGTGATACATCTATGTGGCAGAAATGTTTATGTTGATTCCACCATATCTTTTGACTAGCATCATATCATTTTAAATTCTAAAGAAGAAAAAAATAAGTAAAATTTAATCAAAGTGTCTTGTGTTCTCTGTGTGTGCTAGAAAATTTATTCATTTTGAACAAAATTTGAAACAGAATCAAGATGCTTATTTTGTTTATAGTCATTAAATTAGAATTATCAAGAAAAATGGCCAACATCTGTAGGATTTAAATCTATAGTTTAATCTCATTAGTACATTTCTTTCTAATCTTCTCACAACTTAACTACGACATGTGTATCTTTACATAGCAATTAATTGATAGTAATAATTGTTTTCCTAAATATGTTTTTGTGAAACAAAGTTAAAATTTTTGATGCCATTCCTTATGGTAGAATTGGTAACGCTAAAATGATTTCCTAGGTGCAAACAATTATAAATTTTAGATACGTGAATATCAAAAATAATAAAGATGGAAAAGTCCATGTTGATGAACCATGTTATATCACTGTAATGCCATGATTGTCTTGAAATGAGTCTGCAAATTCACTTCCACGTTGAATTTTTGAATGACAGAATCATACATATTTGTTTTACATTCTTTATACAAGAACCAGATAATATTTACCATAGCCCTTCACAATTTCTTATTCATCTTATAATTTCACTGTGAACAGCCATCAGTGGCTGTTTTTCTGATCTATCCTTAAGTGATTTTGTCTATTATTCAGGTGTGACTTACGTAAGTTGCTTGATTTGAACTGTACTTTTCACAATTATATTAAAACAGGATTTAGCATGGCATCCTTTGGAGAGAATTGATTCAAGTAATGAGGTCTTCTGCTCAATTGGAATAATCTTAGAGAAAATAACATACATATTTCCAAGGAAGAAATCATGCATTTTCTTGGTGTGTTTTGTGCTTTGTAGTAGTTTTTCCTTTTAGCCTTTGTCTTTTATTTAACAAGGACATGCTAAATGACTCATAAATAACTGTAAGGAAAAATGACTAACTCAAGCCCAAATTTAAAAAGTGTAGTTTATGCCTTAATGATTTCATAAAATATTTACAAAGAGAAATACTCTGAATTAAAATGATATTGTCAAAACATTACAAGTGTCTTAATATAGGTCCTATCTTCCAAAGAGTTCATGAATTAGGTGTGTCAGTATATAACATGAAGTATGATATAAAGTGAAGACACTGGATAATGCAGTGACTATTTTTCCTTGTCTTTATAGAATATGTGTCTGCGTTGCAAGCTCATGAATAATAAGTTTGTACGATTTGCATTTAAATCAAGCCTTATTAATTAAAATTTTTTTAGCATAGGGATGCCATGCAAACCTATAATTTTGCCTCAAAGCCCATAGCTTAAGGACGATTTGGTAATTGATTAGAATATTACTAATGATCTTTAAAGCACATTGCACTTATATTTCACAAAAGTTTTTGTGCTTGAGAAAGATAAGGAAAATAAGGAAAGGACCATTGAAAATTGTATTTTAAAATAGTAATTTTCTCCTGGATGACTGAACACTCAGTGGTACTTTAGGGTACTCTAAGGGTCAGTTCTCTATAGAATGAATACACTGAATAATAATAATAATAAAGAGGATGCATTGGGGCGCCTGGGTGGCTCAGTTGGTTAAGCGACTGCCTTCGGCTCAGGTCATGATCCCGGAGTCCCTGGATCGAGTCCCGCATCGGGTTCCCTGCTCGGCAGGGAGTCTGCTTCTCCCTCTGACCCTCCCCCCTCTCATGTGCTCTCTCTCTCATTCTCTCTCTCTCAAATAAATTTAAAAAAAAAAAAAAGAGGATGCATTAAAAAAATTCAGATGCTCAGGCATGCTTCTCAGAAACTATTCACATTATCTTAGATCTGCTAAACCTCTTTAAATACTACTGGGAGTTGATGTTTTTACTCAAAGCATGATTATTATTAACAATCTCTCTTTCCTGGCATACCAAATAGAAGAAGAAGTTTTCAGAAGTGTCCTAAGAGAAAGCAGATTTTAAGTAGGAAAGTGTTTTGTGATTCATTAGTAAATAGATACGATTTGCAAATGCCCCTCACAACTTTCAATTAGTCAAACCATTCTCTCTTCAAAGTAACAAGTTCTTATAATCAAAAAGTATAAGGGTGTGTGTGTGTGTGTGTGTGTGTAATGGTAGCATGGAGTTAAGAAAAAAATGTATCTATCTAGTGTAATATGTTCATTTTACAGACATTACCTCCTCTAATATCCTCATTTATAAAGGGCCAGATAAGTCAACTCATTTTTCGAAGCTCTCCTATCTAGTGACAGAATCAAGAAAAATTCGGGCTTAATTAACAACCCACTATCTTTTTTTTCTGCCATATTAACTGAAAGTACTTCTGTAAAAACTGAGTGCCTCAGATTGGTTCAAGAAGCTTGTTCTCAAAACTTAATTTTTTTTCAGTCAAAACACTAATCCAGTTTTGTACTGTCTCTTATCTGCCTAAAACTATATTTTGATACAACTCATTAGAATGATGTTTATGGCGGAAAGAATTATATACACAGAGAGAATCTAAGTTTGAGTCTTGGCCTCACCCAACTCCCCTTCTCATAGTGAGGAGTCCTGGAGCATACGGGGAGATCACACAGCTAAAAAACTACCATATAATGATAATAATAATAATGATGATAATATATAACATTAATACATACATACAATCTGCCATCAACAATAGTTAAGCAATTACCTCTTTGATTCTCTGTTTTCTTATCTGGCTAATGGAAAAAAAAATGTCAAGTCTACTTCCCAAGACTTTCTGAGATCAAATTAGATAATGAGTATAATGATGTTTAATTACAAATTTTGGCTATTATATGATTATGGAAAACCTTTTATTACTGTAAAAAGAACTTCCTTTTCTATGAAAATTTGCCTTTGCTGTTTTGGGAATCCAATATATTATTTTACAACAGTGTGTTGATGATGAAACCAAAATTGTTGATTGCTGTCTGTTCTAGACAATAATGGTCCTCCAGAAAAAAAAATGTTCCCTTTCCTTGAATTTATAATTTACCCTTCATCCTGATTAGCTTTTTCACCCATAGGCCTAAGATGAGTTCTTATATAAAAGAAGGAGAGTTAGGAAACGAAGGGGTACATTTTTGGAGTTCTTTGTCTATGTCAGATGCTCTACTAATCATATTTCATTTAATTATCAAAAGAACACTTCCAAAGTTATCACAGTTCGGCAGATAAGTGAAAATGAGAAATGAAAGCTTTATAAAGTCAGACTAATTAGTAAGCAGCAGAATTACCATTTGACCTCAGGTCTGATTATCCCTTTCCAGGTTATCACTTTTAACTAAACACATCACAACTGGTAAAGGCCAGGCACAGTGCATTTTCCTATATGAATGATGGTCTGGTGAGAAGAGATAAAAGTAAAGAATAGATCTTTTTAAAGTGTCATTGGTCTATGTAAAATATTTGATGTACATATGATATCACTTTTCTTTATCACTTATCAATAAACATTAAATTGAATCATGCAGATTTTTTCTTCAGATGCTAAAATTAAACCACAGTAGGAGAATTTAATTATTTAAGACAACTATCTTTAGATAAAAAAGTGAAACAAAGTTGAAATGGATAATAGGCATAAGTATAAAAGGTCACCTACAGGAACAGAATTATATTTATTTTGTTTATAAAAGTTATTACCACAAAATGGATGCTCACAATTTGTGCTTCCTAGATATTTTATGCTTACTACATTGTCTGGACTTATTTCCTTTAAGTCTTTGGTACTATTTTGGAAATTCTTTTGTTTATTTATTCTTTATTCTTTATTTAATAGTTGCTATTGAGTACCTACTATATACATTTTCCCAAATGTTGGAGATCGAGGAGTAAACAAAGCACAGCCTCTGTCATCAAGTAGCTTATATTTAGTACAACTACAAATACTGGAATGTTCACTTTATATAGATTAAATAATAGTACTTTGACTTACAATAATAGACTATCTCTTTAAGATATTCACCTGATTAATCTTGATCAGAATCACTATGTTTTTACTTAACAAACGATTGGCAGTCTTATCACTTTCGTTGGGGCACTGGGTAAAATGGGTTTTCCACAATGATTATTATTTACGATAAAGCTAAAACAGATTTCATGACTTAGTTATTTCCAAGGATACTAAAGAATGGTAACTCACTCTGTGTTCAAATTCCAGCTTCACTACTTATTAGCTACAGTTGTAAGGCTACTTAGTAGACCTCTGGATGTTTTAATTTCTTCAATGAGTGATTGAAATAGTGTTATTTTGTTGATAGTAGGTACTAAATAAAGTTAGCTACTTTATATTATTGATAGAATTCTGTCCATTATTTCTAGAAACAATCTGATTTGGATGCTTCCATTGATATTTGTCTTTATTTTGTTCTGAAAACTTTATCGTCTCTCATGATTCTGAAATACAACTTGTACAGTTATGAAAGAGATAAAGTAGAAATATTTAAAACCGTATAGTTGGTTTTAAAGCATATCATGTAAAGTCTAAAGTCAATAAAAGGTCAAAATGAATGATTTAACTATCTGAATAATTTATGCTAATTTTGATTTGCTCTAATATTCTGATTTATTCACTTATTTGTCTGTACCAGGTCATTATTTTAGGTTGCATTATTTATTTTTGTAATTTAGAATGTTGGCAATGGATGAAAGAGCTACATTCAGGTTCTATTTCTGCCACATAGTCACTATATGACCTTAGGAA